CAGCTTCAGCAGAATATATTTAAGCACTGAAACAGCATCTGATCAATGCACGAACATCTCATTTTCTTGCAGGTTTTCATCTCAAAGTCTTAAGCCTCAGCTTGCGCAATGTTTTGTTTCATTTTCCTTTGAACGACACTGATCATTGTTATCCATCTCTGTCTGCATGAGGGGATAAATCACACTGGTTATTGATGCACCAGCTCCATCTGATTATAACCAATCTTTGTTTTGTTTTTTTAGATCGAGAGAGGAGCATGTGTTTGATAAAACACATGCTTTTGCTCATAGATTTAGGACACAAGTATTCTGTTTTATTTGTATTATTGATCTGATAGCCACAAAAAAAAAACCAAAAAAAACATTAGTGCTAAATGTAGCAGCATTTAGTTAAAATACATCCATTTAATTACACCAGGTACACAAAATTGTCCTACAATTATAAATTCCTACAATTGCAAATTTTTGAATGATTAACTACTGAGTTGCACTTTTTAAATTATTGATATTAGTATCAGCATCTTTTAGCTGAAACTTGGGAAATCTAATGTTAAGTGTACCTAATCTCTTTTGGATGAAACATAACATTAATGTTACATAATCTTCTACCAGAGCATCTGACTATCAAGTACAACTGGAAAGCAGAAAAGCTACATTACGTTACCAGCTATATGAGATTTATTCTGTGATGTTTTAAGAAGAGGACTCGATTAACAAAAGCCAAAGCTTAATTATCTTAATTGTCATTTACGACCTAATTATGAGGGATGCAAAAACAAAACTTGTGAGCTTATATGTTCAGCACAAGGACATCTCATGTTAACACAAAGATCACAGCAAGTACTCTCAGCATCAAAGTATAAATGATTTGAGCAAGAGCAGGATGATATTAATGGTGCTCAATTAAGAAAAAATATTTCAAAACAAGAGATGTATGTGTACCAAAAAGGAGGTTGTTTTTTGTGGGAGCACAGCAACTTAAACCAATCATTAAGTTACAGATTCCCAACTCTACTGTGCCTCAAACTACAACAACTATCACCTGATCTGTTATTGAGTAGTAATACAACCATGGATAGAAAATACTACCATGTAATTTCTTCAACAGACAAGTCAGGGACAACAAATAATTTAAGTTGGGTAAGTCACTGCAAATGCTATGGCAAAGATGGCAGAAATCACCCTACTTCCTCAAAAGGAGCCTAAGAATTAACTGTAAGTTAAATGCTGTTTTCAGTTACAAGCAGAATAGAGCTGAAAAGGCAATTTGAGGTCTGTACAAAAGCAGATGCATGCACAAAAGCAAGAACAAAACACATTTAATTTCTTGGTTTATTTTTATTTTGATGTGTGGCCCACTAGACATAAATGCTTGCAAAACAAAACCACAAACAAAACCCCTAGGTTCTATGTTTTCATGTCTAAGCATGGGTCATGAAAAATGTGCATCATGGTTGGAGTGATTTTCATTATTCTGTTAAGGAACATCATCACAAAGGCAAGTGTTTCACTTTCCATTCCATGCTGTTTCCACATTGTTTGAGAAGGGTTTAATGCCATTGACAAACAGGATGTGCACTACTTAGGGAAAAAAAGGCAGTTTAATTGCCAATTTAGTGTAAATCCAGACCAAAAAGTTCTGTGTAAATTATTTAATTTTCAAAAAGTTGGCACATCTAGACATGAACCCCAGTGCATGAGTTGAGTAAAGTGTTATTAAGCAATTACCAGATCCTCTTACAGTCAGTTCACCAAACACAACAGAGACCCTGTGTATTATAAAGCGCATCCCTGCACTTGAAGAAATACTGTACTCAAATGTGTAATTTGATTTACAAGTAGCTGGCAGGTCAAATGAACACCAGAGGTTTTATTTTTAGTGACTGGATGACATCTATATGTGATCTACAATGTGCTGCAGAGAGTACGCCTTGAATACAGAGGAGTTCTTGTTACAATATTCTAGAGTTGAACTTGCTTTCAATGAGAAAAAACCTTTACCAAAGTAAACCAAGATATCAACCTTTACTTTACCGAGGTAAAGGTTGCAGTGTGCCATCCCAATCACATTGGTTTGATCACTTCCTCTCTTATTCTCCATGCAGTACTCATGCAGATTCTACTTGAGAAACACAGACTTTGACAGGCATGAATTGGGCAGATGGTAGCTATTACAGTTCAGTGATGTCTCTACGCGATAAAAAGATCACACACACTGGGGTGGATCAAACACTGTGAGGAGCCTGTGATTAAAATTAGGTGGTAATTATTCAGATGAGACCATAAGTGACACAATTATTCTGAAAGATAAAGCAAAAAGAGTCTGCAGAAAAATGTTTGTCGGATCATAAAATAGAGACGATTGTGCTCGGTTTTTAGGAAGCGTCACCATTTTTCCCAAAAGGAAATTATTCTGACAGACAGTTAAAAAATAAGGTTTGAGAAGCTTTTTCTATTTAAACACTCAACCCCCCACCAACCTCCTCCTTTCCCTAGCCGTCTCCCTGCCAGAGGCCTTGTTAAATTGGCACAGATTCTCCCCAGCTCCAAAACAAAATCGCTGCCTAAGTGTTTCCACTCTGCTACCCCTATCATGCCCTTACAGTAGCCCGGCTTGCAGAGCGGGGACAGCACAAGAAAATCAAGCTTTCGCCAGATGTGTGCCGCGACAGCGGACCGAGACTCATCCTGAGTTTTAGGATGACTTGCATCCCTGGAATATCGCTCTTTTCCATTAAATGACAGCAGAGGAAGCGTTAGGCCTAATTAAGCTGGCGTATTCATATAATATTAGTCAGACAGCGTGCTAAATTCTTGCTCTGCTCCTCACGGACAAACCGCTCTTTGTTTCCGAGGCATTAGCCGAGCGGATGCGAGCGAGGCATTCTGCTACAGAAAGCCGGTATGACTCCGTCTTCCTGCTTGGTCTCAGAGGTGTTGAAAACTTCCCAAAGCACATTCCACTCGTGGACAGACACAAGGAATAACAGTTCAGCAAGAGCTGAGGAATTCACAGAGTTGCTCTTGGAGGAGGAAGTCATCTCTTCTGTTCACCCCTTTATGCACCAATCCAAAGAAAGAATGAAGTGTTCAGGATTTGCCTTCTGATCTAGAACGTTTCAACAAAATAAGCTTGGAATTTTGGGAAACCCACAGAATGCTTGGCCAGAGACAAAATAGGTCATTTGTGCAACAAAAAAAAAAAAAAAAAAAGAAAAGTAGGCTATGCAAAGAGCATGAGCATTTTTTATTTTTTTTGGCAGGTCACCATCATCTCCTAACTGTAAACATTTGGGAGGGTATTTTTAGTGGACACATGCCCTTAAGTTGATATAGTAGCCTGGACAAAGTAGTCTTTGTCTAGGCTGCTAGTAAACAAACAAGAAACAAAATGAAGACTTAAGTAAAGTCTCTGTATGGTAGAGGGCAATATCTGATATCTGAAGACTGAATCTGGAAAAAATAGCTGAAAATGGTTTTAAAAACCAAACACTTTCTAAATTGTGGCCGTGACAATTGGCATGTAGATTTGGCTCTTTCCCACTTTTCTGAAGAGACCATTACTTTTAAAAGCATTTGCTGCGGAATTACAATAAAAGCCTGACAAAAGCTGTGCAATCAGAAAGGAAGGAAAACAAAGTTTAAACCTATCTATGAGGAAATTTGAGATAACGATAGTTCATCAGATAGTTTTGAGATGAAGATCCTTTTAGCCATGTCAAGATAAAAAACAACCGAAGCTCATCAGGTAAACATGAGATGATCAAAAATCAAGCTGCCAGACACAGAAGGCGCACCGAAGTTCTGAGGCAGAGATAAACATTTCTTAAAACCATTCTGGACTATATATACTCTTGCCAGCTCCTCCGTCTGATTTATTCCCAATGAAAATCCAATTTTAGATAAAAATCTATCTGAAGCCCAACAAGCAAGCATAAACATGGAGTGAAAGTGTTTTAATGCAAAAACAAAGTCAATTTTATCCCCCAACTGCGTTGCAGTGAAACTCAAAGTTTTAGAAAATTGCTTTAATACAGATCCTGAAAATAAACCAAAAGCAATGCCACATTTAAAAACTTTGATTAGAGGGGAAGGAGTGGACCTGCTGCTACTGGAGCTGCCCAAAAAATAAATAATAATATTCACAATGCTATGATATTTTAACATTTAATATTTTAACACCCTCTCACCCTCTGCAATCCAATCTTGTATTTGACCAGGTGAATGAACTTTGAAGCAGAAAGGGCTGAGCTTTTCATATTTTGATGTATTATTTTCACTCCAGTATTCTTTGCTACAAATGATCAAATTGTCACTTAAAGAATGCTATGCTATTGCAATTTAGGCATGAAATGTGCATTTTATTTAAAAAAGGAACTAAATTATGTGTTTATTTGATTTAATGTATTCTTAATATTGCATAAAAGGGGATAGGTGGTTAAATAAAAAAATATGCAGAATTAGAGTTTTTTTATCTAATTAATTGTAATAATCAATAGAATAATTGATTACTAAAATGTTAGCTCTGCTACTATAAACATAGTTGCAAGCAGCACAATTCATGTTACAAACTGATCTTATTTAACCTGCTTTCCAGTGAAATATGTAGCATTGAAGATAAGAGGTGAGATTCCATTTAGCAGTTTTGGGAAAGTAAAGGAGGAACCCGCAGCAATGCGAGGAAAACATCCTCCCACGCAAAGAGCTTCCAGAGTAATGTTATGCCCACTCATCTCCACAGAGTAAAATGCTGCTGGACCTACAAGGAGATAATAGCAGCTGGTATGGCACAGACGCGTTAGAGCACACTAAAGAACACTAAAATATCCACAGTTGTGATCTTGATGCTTGGAGAGTTGGCGGAAAGCTCTGCACAATTTAAAATAAACAGTAAACAAATCATGCTGCAGACACAGCAGTACTAACGAGGGCAAATAAAATCAAACCGTCATTTAAACTTCCTGTTTATGGTAATCAATAGACAGAACTGGGTATTGTACCTGTGAAGAGTTTGGTGATGGCTTTGTTCTGCCTGCGTGCAGAGCAGATGAGCAGCAGCCAAGGAGGCAGAAACTCATGGTGACTGGCGAGGAGTTCGGCAATTGTCCTGGGAGACCCTGGCGACGACCTCTGCTCCACCTCACCCAGCTGGGAGCCTTCATCAATAGAGTCGACAAGCAGGAAGAAGGACTGCGGAGGTGGCTTTACGCTCAGCAGAGGCAGAAGGACACACCTGATGGAGGAGCGGTGAGATGAACAAATGTTACTACATTTCACGTTTTGGCTTTTGTTTGTTCTACACGTTAATCTGCAATTGCATCATGCTTTGCAGAAGTTTTTATCCACCAGCAATATGTTCACATTTTGCTGCATTGAAACAACAAACTAATGTTTTTTAGCATTTTATGTGATAGACCAGAATAAATGTCCATATAATTGTGACGAAGAAGGAAACTGACATAGTTTTCAAATATCTTTCTACAATTACTGAATTAGGGACTTTGACTATGCAATTCTAAAACATAAAAACTTTGATATTGACCATTTCATTCTACATCTGGCTGTATGTTTGCGGTTCCCTGTTGGACAGTGAATATTTTTCAAGAATTTCTATCAATTTACCTCCCTATCAACTTTGACCTTGACCACTGCTGCTTAAGAACTGCATCTCTACAGCATGATCCTCCCACCACCATTTTTCACCTCATGTACAATGTTAGTTTTTTTCATCACATGGTCCTGGGTTGTTAAGTTTCCACCACATACAATATTTTGCATTTAGATCAAAATGTTTAATATACCCTATGTTTCAGTGTTAGAACACTTGAAACACTACTTTGTGGAGGCTAATAATTTAAAATCTCAGTAAATATATTCAGATTTTTGTGGAAAAAGCTTTGGGGGTGTGAGTATTCTTACAGCTGCAAAGCAGTAAAATGACAGTCACAACAGACAACTGATTTCCCCAAAGCAAACCACATCATAGTCCATATGGATGAAAAGGGAAAAAACATAAAAGTAAATGCATCTCTGTCCAACCCAAACTGCCAATAATCTGAGCTCGAAAGAAAAAAAAAAAATACACAATCTTTGGGATTTGATGGGCTTTGATTGAAAACTACACAACATGAAAACAGTTTTATGCATCAAAGTTTAACAATGTTTCCAACAACATTAATACAGACTCCAAAATATCTGCAGCCGCCATGTGAAATCCAGCGATAAAGCAAACATGATGTAAAGCTTTCTGTATCATCTCCACATCAATACAAATCTGAGCACAGCTAAGCGCTGAATTATGCCGTTATCAGCTGATAAATGCAAACCAGACATGTAATTGCAGTTTTCAGAGCCAACAGGCAAGTTCACACATAAATGCTCAGTGAAGCAACCAACAAATTCAGCTTCATTTGATTTTTTTCTGCGCAGCCATGTTTGTGTTGGCATAGACCTCTGATCCACTGCGACACCACAAGATCTCGTTTGGGAAGGTGTCGTTTTCCAACAATCAGAAAATTACTTCCAGCTCGCCTGGCTGTGATGAAGGATCACAGGATTTCCTTTAAGTGACATTTGAATGCGCCCCTTGGTTAATCAGACGTTTAAGAGGATGAACAAATGAATTCAAGAACTTGACTCGGGATTAGACGCAGCTGTGGGGCGTTTGAGGCTCTTCACAAGTGGGTGTCAGAGAGATAAAAATCTGTCACCTTGCCGATGATGGGACACTCTCTTTAACCACCACTCTCTTCTAATGGAACATATGCTGCTTGTGAGGTTTGACATTAAATGCTCAAACGGTGATATATCAAGACGTATCTTGTCGGCCCAACAGACCGTCACTAAATGTTTGGCTCCAAAGTAAGATCCTTTAAAAAAAATAAAAAGCCTTCAGAGCGCAGTGCAACAATTTACTTCTCCTGCTCAGTGATTCAATTCAATGCAAAAGCACTTCAATCCCACAGAGAAATGTAATGTTGTCAGGCCTACAAAGTTCCTTAAACAGTTCTTGTCGATGCCAGAATCTCCAGTAGTAGCCTGTATTACAGTGTATGCGATGAACCCTCTGACTGAAGACACTATTGATGTATATGGTTTCAGAAAGCAGATGTTTATTCAATGAAGAAATTTGAACAGAAACAGTTGTTTTCATTGGCTTCTTTAGGAATTTTAAGTCACCGACTGGTGCTGCCATCCCTACAAATGATGGAAGAACAGATTGCACTCTTCACAACGGACTTATAGAAAATGTTTATAAAACTATCCAATGTATGATTGCATACTATGTTTTTTGTATGTGATCAAATTTACAAATAGGATGTAGTGGTAAATAATTAGTTTATTTTACAAGGACATTCTAGCATTGCATTCAGGTCTGTTGATGTCCGCAAAAAGACTAATAATTCTTGGAAATTACGACATCGAGACAATTAGGATCTCAGGTGGCTTCAAGCTTTAGTAAAAAATAAAAAAATATATTTATATTTTTTTCAAAAATGTAATCCCAGCCCTATAAGCCCATTTCTAATAAGTTGTTGCAATTTATTGAGTCTGACAACAGTCATCGTATCAGTTCAGCATCCTGAACCAATCCATCATACTAACCTCTGACTTCTATAAACATATGCATCAAATATTTTAGCTCAATAAAGTACTGGCTTTCAAAGTCATTCCACATTTTAGCAGTAAGAAATTAGATAAAATGATCAGTTTTAAAATGTAAACCTTGAGCTGCAAATTTTCTCTAAGCAATGTAAACCATCAGCTGGAATGAAAAGCACTGTTAATGCCTTTTCACCGTCACGCTGCACCTCAGTGCTGCTCAGCCTTTTTAGCTGTGCAGTCAATCACTCAGTCTCATTGTCACAGCCCACACAGAACCTGCAGCGCCATCTGGGAGTCCTGCCAAAGGGAATGTCCATCCGCAGGGGTGAGTTGTGAGAGAGTGTGTGAATGGTTGTGTATGAGGCCACGTTGCTACCGAGACAATCAAATCCACAGTGACAGCAAGTGGGCAAAACAAAGCAGCATTCTTCCCTCACAATCCAGCTACTTTCAGGCTGTCAGAGTCAAAAAGGAGAGATTTCAGACAAAGAAAAACTCAACAGGGTGTGGGAGCTGCAGGGAAAAAATAAGCCGATTTCATTTGTCAAAGAAATACGCTGCACACCTGGAAAACTAAAAGCCATTGCCCTGGACCTATGCACTAATTATTCTGGTACTAAACAAAAGCTCAAATTGATTCCAAAAGCAATTTAACATGGAGAAAATTGGGGGAAGGGAGGTCTTACATGAATCAAACACGATCCCCATCTGTCATGTTGTGTTGAGGGCTGCAGCCGCCGTCGCTGCAATCATAATGTACAAAGTGAAGCTTTCAGTGTGATGTTTAGTGAAGACTTCTTGGCTGACAGAGCTGCACTGGGCAGCGATTCAGAGCCTCGCACATTCACGCTCTTCGTTTTATAAGACTGGCAAAGTCACAAAGCACACCCCAAGGCCCACATGCTCACAGAAAGCGGCACTGGAGTCAAAATATGCTCTCAATATAACTTTAACCGTGGAAAAATGGTCAAGATATGTGAAGCTCCAGGCAACGGAATCAAACAGACGAAGCGTTCCTCTTCTTTCATTAAAATAATCACCAATTCATTCAACATGGAGCCAATTTAGAGAAGTTCTGCTGAATGCCTTTCCACAGTCAGGGGAATGCTCAGTGCCACAGAACGGAACCAAACCTGAGTCATGTCCTGACTCACTCAAACCCAACCAAACTACCATCAGGAAGATCGTTCTTCTTCTCCAGATCTGACATTATGCTGGTCAGTATTGCAATCATTCCTCTGAAAAGGAGGGCAATGAGAGACGCATGTTAAATTCTGAGAACAAATGTTCTGAACATCCAGGTGTAGATACTTTGCCTACTTGCACACTAGCACTCTTGTCAGTCTGCTTTTATCTGTGTCAAAGTTTTATTAGGTTTAATGAAGTTCTGCAAAGTTCTGAAATTCTCTAAAACCATTTATTTTGAGAACGACGTTTGAGAAATCTTAGGGATTGACATTACCAACAGCTTGTGCATCATAAACAATCTTAACTGAAAATTTCAACCTACCAGAAGTAATTTAATACTTCAGATTCACTTAAGGTGTATTCATGCCTCCCCTGTGGTGGCGCTACACTAAGAACCACTAAAGAAAATTATCCAAAAACCTCTGAAGACACTGAGCACAACTTTGTTCTTCACAAAATGTAAATAAAATGAAGAAGCATCAGATTTTAGCAGTTTTAGGATTTCTCTTTTGTCTTTGGCAAGAGATTACAAGTCATTTCTCCTGTTGGAGCTAGCCTGTTGCATTTGTTTTTATCATATTTACTCAGAAAGGTCCATGCTATAGTTTGCTTCTTGCTTTTGGAGCCATCTCCAGTCCTATATGAATGCATTTCACTTTAATAATAATAATAATAACAAAAGAAAAAGGAAATCAAAGGTCCTCGACAGGAACAGAAACTGAAGAAACTCAGAAGATCCGCTCGGCCTGTTCCTTTTCTTCAAGACTGAAGGTGTTCAGAGGTTCGTGAGGAGCCTCCAAGACCGCTGTTTTTGTGACAACTTCCCGTATCTTGTTTATAATCGAACCAGAGTTCCCATTTATGATCCGATTATACATTCACACTTCCCAAATGAACCAAACTTTTTGGCAAATGAACTGGAGTGGAATTCAAATGAAGTGGTCTAAATGGCCGGTATGAACACACCCTAAAACTGCAATTACAGAGATTTGATCAACAAAACTGGGTGAAGAAACATTTGAAATGTTTTCATTAAGTTTAACATATTAAAAATAAACACTGAAATTCCTCTGAATTTACCAGGAAATCAACATCCTGAAGTGAAGCATTGGAGTCTCTATCAACTTACACAGCATTTACATCCACAAATGACCCTTAAAGATGGAGCTATGAAAAAACAGTGGAAATAAGGTCAATTTTTATTTTAATTACTAAACCTACTCATTTCTTGACTAAGCGGTGGTATAACTATAGCAATTTGTACATCACCATAAAGAAAAGCAGCATTTTTCTTTAACTGCACAAAGTAAAAACATCAGTTTTGTTTAATGTTTGGGATTCTATGAGTCAAAATATATTATGTTAACCCCTCAAAATCTGACAGGAGTTGTCGCTCAAGTGATCTTGCAGCTAAAGCTGTGAAAATGTAATCTTCTTGAA